TAACAGAGAGAAGATGCTACCACCAGCCTTTTGCCCTTCACCAGAGCAGCCAAATATCTCCTTATCCAACCTCTCCCCTCCAGCCACCTCCATGTGCCCCGGTCCAGCTACTGCCCTGCTCATCCTCCTCACGGGAGCACAGCGCTCGGTTTTACACCATCCTGCGACTCTCTGAGGCAAGCCCAGGCTTTGCTGACCCAGAGCTACAGCACTTTCAGCAGAAGGATATGGAAGCCGTTCTCTCCAATCATTCTGAAGTCGTCTAACAAACAGACGATGTTTTCTCCTGCCTGGTCCTTCTTCTTCATACTGCTCACCTGAGGGGGAGGATTCCAAGAAAGCTGCAATTAGACATATATATGCACAAGGACATTTTGCACCTGTTTTATCCCTTTCTACAGACTTTCTCTTCCAGGAGCTGGGCACTTCATGACAAATCCCAGGAAAACAGCATCAGGAAAACCAGACACCAAGCACACAAGCAGAGTCTGTTACCAAGGAATGAGTTTCTCTATGTTGTCTAGCTCTTGACCAGGTGGGACCATCACCCTCACAGTGTCCAAATAACTCAAACCGATCCTGCTAATAGTGTTTAGCACACTTCCCGCTGCTTATTCTATCCCATGCAGGCCCAGAAAGCACTCCTGCTTGTGCTGGAAGGGGATTCCCGCCAAGCTCCCTGCTCCAGAAGCAATGGCTGTCCATTTCCTTCACCCTTCTGCAGCCTCTGCTCCTTGTCCTCAGAGCAGGGATGGCCCTGTCCCTCCCCTGCTGAAAGTAGCAGGCTGGGACGTGGCCTTTTAAAACCCACACCTTCCCTTCAGCAATTTCTCGCAAGGGGCTAAAGAGAGGCAGAGACCTTGTGGTTGTCTTTGGCCACTTGAAGGCTACCTGTCCTACCGGGGTAGAGAGCAGCTTCCATGTCTGGAGGAACGAAGCAAAGTAGGTCTCTTTGGGCCGAAAAAGGGTTGGCAAATACTGCAGAGATCTATCCGATACGGAGTGGTGGCAGAGGGCGTGAACACAGATCTTTTGTACAAGAACCAGGGGGCATCAAACCTAGCACTTGGGAGGTTCAAAAACAAAGCAGAGGAGATGGGTCTTCATGCAGCACATGGGTAATTGGTGGCAGTCCTTGTCACGGGGGGCTGCGGATGCAGAAGCATGCAGGTCTTCTGAAGGTAAAGTCATTGAGAATTACTGCCCACACAGACCTCACCCTTGGCCCAAGAAATCTCCAGCTGGAAAGTGCTGTAGGCCAGGGGAGCATTCAGTGGGAGCAGCACCTGGTGCTTAGCTTGTCCGTATACCTGTCTGAATATCTGCTGCTGGCCCAGGGTGCTGGGCTGGGTGAATCCCTGGTCTGCCCAAGCACGGGTGCTACGGTACCCCCAGCTCTTGCAGCAGCCCTGTACACCTGCGCGGCAAGGTGTGTCAGGAGTTTGCTCCCACAGAGCACTGATCCTGGTACAGCGATTCATAATTTTTTTTCTTTTCACAGCCATAACTGTCGGGATTTTGGTTTGGCATGTTGTGCAGCTGCCAGATCCGCCTGCACCAGCGCCAGGAGGTTTGTGCTGGCACGACAGAGGTGAGCAGCCGTGGAAGCAGGGGAGACCAGGTCACCTCTCCTGGCAGCTCTGCAGGCACCCACCACCTTGTGCTGGCGGAACAGACCTGGGAACCAGCTATATTCTGCTGAATGGAAGGTTTGTCTTTCAGAGCGAATTAGTAATAAATTAAGAGTAAGGCTCGGTCTATATGCAGGATTGTGCTGATGTGTAGAAAAGCAGCCCTCTGATTACATTAAATGAATGCCACTTGGTACTTCCTCTTGCATCACGAAGTCTGGCTCACGTCCCTTTGGATAGGGCCTACAGATGCACCTACAGGTGCAAACTAAACCTTTCTCAAACCTGTTGGATAAAGGCCTCAGAGTAATTTGAAATGCAAAATTTAATGGATTTTACTCCTCTAAAGCTGATGTAACTTTGTATTTAGGCAAACTCGATGAACTGTAACCACGAGCTTTCTAGAACTAGCAGGTCAAGCCACCTTCAAAGGCAACTAGCTGAGACCCAGATACAGGCACCTAATTACCACATCCATTAGCAAAGGCAGGAGGAAGCTTTCTGACTTCAGAGGTTTATTTTACTTTTGCTACATCCTGCTTTATTTTTTGCAGATATTTCCTTTGACTTCCGTATCAGTGTTGTGATAGAGCAATGCCCTCTGAGCGGGGAACGACACAAATACAGTGGACACACTCCCATCTCCTACTTAAGAACATTACCACTTTTTTCTGTTGGTTATCCTCCTTATCTTTCTGCAGGTTCCTCTAACTTACTGGATTTTGGTCTCAGCTGAAAGAAATGGGCTGACAGGGCAAGTGGGACACAGCCAGCATGTCCCAGAATGACAGTAGGAAGGAAAAGGTGCCCGTTTCAGAGGCCAGTGCTGAGCCAAGGCGATTTCCATGAATTATCTAACTTTTTTTTGTTTTCTGTTCCCCACCTAGCTCCTCAGACTGAGACCTGGAGGGAGAAGGGATGATGAGGCTGATACTCAGGCCTGAACGCAGTGGCCATCCCTGCGGAGCAAAGCACAGAGCCCCAGAATATACATACGCAGCGGAGGAGAGCGACCTCGTCCTGGGCAGCCTCAGCAAAGCCTTCCCTGCTTTTCAGGACCTTCACAGCTACGTGTTTCTTCCTCCTGGGAAATGAATCACAGCTTCCAGCCAACGCATGCCAGTGTGGCCCTAACCAGCAGCACCCTTCTCCCAGTCACCCAGCCCTGGGTTCCGTGGGTGGGTGCTGCCCTCCTGCAACCAGCCTTGCCCTTGGTCTGCAGCATGCCAGGCCCGTGGGCATCCCTCCTGGTGAAGCTGCCGGCATCTGGCAGCACAGCTGCCCCAGGGACCAGCAAGGGGCTGGAGAGAAAAAGGCAGAGCATGGACACTGCAGGGTCTAAACGAGAAGAGCGAATGCAGAGCAAGGGCTGATCCCACCTCATTTATGTTCTTTAGTTTCCGGGGACCAGCTCTGCTCATTGTACCCCACCAATCTCGCTGCCAGGATTGCCCTGTGCTTGGGGGATGCCGACGTGCTCCCAGGCAGGCAGCTGCGCTCTGCTGCTTCTGTGAGAGGGGCAGGTCCTGCCCAGGAGATCAGCCACCCCTTCCCACCTCCCCGAAAGCTGGTCAGCCCCTCACCTCATGTCCTGGCACAGCCAGACGGTGGCAAAGGCGCCGTGGCCCAGCTTGCACAGAGCCTGGTATCGCGTGTTGAACACCTCTCCTTCCCGCACGGGGTGGTGGCCTCCTGTGGGCACCATCGCCAAGAGACATTACTGACATCTCTAAGTGCTTTCAGACTGACAGAGCAGCTGAGGACAGCCATCCTCCCGGAGGAACGGCTGGACAGGTCCCAGTGGCCTCCTCTAGCCTGGGAACAGCCTGGCACGATCTTGGCTCTGGAGCCACACGCCCGAGGACTGACCTGTGCGCTGGGCTGCCGGCACCTCCTCCTGCACCCGCTCCTCCATGGCCCAGCGGCGCAGCAGATCCTGGCACGAGGGACAGAGGCAGTGGGGAACCGGGTTGTGGGGCACAGGTGGTGCGACCTTCAGCGTATTACTCCTTTAAAGAGAGTTGGAGAGCTGCAGGGCAGCTGTACCTCTGCTGCATGCCATGCACATTGACTCCCTCTTCTACCCCTGCTCTCCCCTTGCCCCCTTCCTTCCCATCTGCTTCATCAGCCCCTGGAGTTGGGCTGTTACAAACGCTTTTGGCACTTCACGGAGCCAGGGATTATTTTAAGAGTTCAGAAGAGTAAAGCTGGCAGGCTGGGGCTGGGCAGGGATCATGGTGCTGTGCGGCCAGGCCAGGGCCAGGGCCAGGTGGGAGTCTCAGGTTTCCCTGTGCCTCGTGTGGATTTTCAGGGGCTTAGTGGGGACTGTGGGATCCCCTCCCGTGGCCGCAGCCGGGGAAAGCACCCGCTCCCTATCCCCGTCCCGGCTGAGGAGGGGACACGTCTGGGCAGGAGGAGCCTCACACTCCGGACGGGTGTGAAGTAGAGCCTGTGTTTTAGGAACTGCAGCGCTGCACATCTGTCCACAGCCCAGCTCCGGGCCAGAGCATGGGTTTACCACTGACCATCCCGTGACAGCCCTGGAGAGGGAGGCGGTTCCCAGGGTTTGTTACTATGACAGCCCAAGGTACAAACACCGAGTCAGTGCAGACAGACTGATGCAACTGCTGTCCCCCCGCCCCACAGCACTGGTGTAGGATTGGCTTCAGCACCGGTCACCTGAAATAGCAGCCCAGAACCCGTGTTGCTAATGGAAATGTAGATGTAAGCTGCGGTAGCTGGGGTACTCCCAAGCCAGCCTTTCATAATTTGGAAACGTCACTTGCTGTATGGCCAAAGCTTCAGGCGAACACGCATTGCCAGAGCTCGTGACAAGTCATCATAATCCCAGTAGACCATTAGCACGGGTAGAAATATTGACCTTTAAATCCTTCAAATCAGGTCGCTAAAGCTAAGAGCTCATCTGCACTGGAGGGTTTTCAGAAATAGTTATAGTGGGCTGGTGGTGGTGGTGGTGGCAGCGGGACCCACGTGACAGGGAATTGTTCTGGGACGGTAACACCTTCCAGGTGCTGAGACAGAGGTGTGACTTCCTCAAAAGACAAAGGTTTCTTTCCACGTGCTGATGCTCCTCCCAGCACAGCAGCCAGAGATGCAGCCTGCCTTTGGGCAGCGAGGAAGCTCCCAGCACATTTCTAATTAAGGGTCAGACTGAGCTCGAGACTCTGATCCTGTCAGGGACAACCCAAATTGCCAGAGCTCACGTTGCTCCATTCACAGCAGTCTCAAAGGAGCTCAAAATCCCTCCCCCTCCTCATATTTTTACACCTCTAACCGTGGCATTTAAGCTATTCAGAATCAGTCTCTTTTAGGCATAAACCTCCAGGATGCTGCATATCCATATGGCCACTCTTTTCAGCAAATGCTTACTAATGTCTTAGCTATGAAACAGAGGTGAAATCAAAATTTTCCTATTTGTGCACCAACTGAGCATATCGGTAACCTTGCAAGCTGCTGTGCCACCAGAATCTACCCAAACCCTCTTCACTCACTTCATTAGGACAGCAGGGGCTGATCCTAAAGCCAGCCAACAGCCTTAAAGATTTTATGATGTCTCTCACCATTCACCTGCCAAAGGAAAATTCGAGCATGTGGGGATGGGATTTCAACAGCATCTTCCCTAGGTGGATTGTTACGGCAGCAGGAGACCTCGGTGGGAAAGAGCTGTCACCATGACCCAGTGGTTAGGACCCACAGACTGACTCAGAGTGTAAAACGCATCCCAGCGCTACGGCTGATGGAGCTTTTGGGCAGCTCACCGGGCCCTGGTGTCCTCCTCGCCACGGAGGCGAGGCAAGTCCGTCCTTCAGCGTGCGAGACTTTACCTCCATCCACTCTCGCTACGTGGATACGCTGGTAAAGGATGAGGAGCGTTGCTATGCAACTCGGTATAGGAGAGTGAAACGTACTTTTCTAAGCTTTGTGATAAAGGCTGATCCATGCTTTAAAGTCCTTCATTGCTTGATATCTTTATGTTAAAAACAACTGTTATTTTGCTTTTGCATTCAAAGCTACGTTGTGCTGAACCTACTAGCTTGCTGCAGGCCTGGACCGGGTCAGAGAACTTCAGCCCAAAAACATACTGGTCCTGGCTGGTCTGCGAGAGCCACGTGCAGGGAGCGGTGCTTCGCCTCTGGCCTGGACAACTCTACCTGACCTGGACGGAACGGCCTAAGGAGCTGCCCACCACCAGTCATGCCTTACAATGCCTGGACCTCTGGAGTCGCAGCGCTCACCAGAGCAATACACACCTTCATCTTCTGCACGAACACAGACCTGGCAAGCCCTTGCTGAGCACAGCATCCCTGCAAGTCGCGACATGCAGCATAAAAGCAGCCCCATCGGCACGTGGGGCTCCAAGCCCCAGGGGCCCTGCGCAGACTTACCGTGCAGCAGCTCGCAGGCAGGGCACGCCACTCCGTTCGTCATCTGGCTCATTCTGGAGCTCCCCAAAGTGAGATACCAGCTGGTCCTGCTCTCCTTTTAGTCTGCGCTGCCCGGGAGGGGTGTCCTTGAGCAGACCAAACTCTTCTGCATCGTTGGATGGATGTGGTGAGGAGCGGGGCAGGGTATCGGATCACAGCACTGTTTCTGGGAACAACCTTGGCTTCGGGATAGCAGGAGACCTAGGACAGCTGCGGTGGATTCACTTTACTGCTGGCTTCTCCCTGCCTCCCCCCGGCTTCCCTGGCAGCAGGTCTGTCAGCCTACTACTGCTCCACAGTCTCCACAGCAACTATTTATAGAGGGAAATTCACAGCTCTACTGAGATGGAGAGAGAGAAATCCTTCCCCTCTGCTCCGCCGTCCCCAGACCCAGAAACCGCGGGGCTGCCTGGCACTTCCCACTGCTCCCGGCAGCGTGTTGGCAGGACTTTTGGCCCAGCCGCGCTGCTGTGGCACCGTCTCCTGTCTCTGCCTGGCACAGTAGTCCCCGACCTGTGCCTGGCAGAGGGGACAGGCTCCCCAGGCCCACCCGTGTGCCACGCTGCCCGACCTGAGGCAACCCAGCTGGGTCCCCCAGCAGTACCCGCACGCAGCCAGACACAATCGCAGCGCGGTGCTGGTGACCACAGAGCCCACGCTTCCCCCGTTCCCTTTTCGTGGCGAGTAACCACGACAGCAGCATCCTCCCTGCAGCCCCGCTCGCCCGGCCGCCCTGCCCCACCGAGGTGGGACCCGAGCATCCCAGCACCCACGCGACACCGAGGAGCAAATGGCCACACGCAGTAAAAATCGCACTTTTTTTCCCCACTGCCACATGCTGCAGCCTTGCACCAGAGCTGGGCATGGCCCGGCCTCCCCCTGGCTGGGGCCCTGGTGTTGTACAGCTCAGGTTTCCTCGCTGAGGCTGCACAGCCCGAGCCCCAGCCCTGAAGCAAAGGGTTAATGCTGCCTAGCAGAAGCTCTGCTGCAGATCCAGGCTGCCAAAACGAGGTCGGGGCCTCCCTGAGCGCTTCTCCCCCTTGCCTGTGCCCCTCTCCTCTCACCTGCCTTCCCCACGCTAAAAATAACAAGGGAGGGGGCAGAGGCTGCACCAGGCTGGGCGCTGAGGGAGTGCCGGGGCAGCACCTAACCCCTAAAAGGCCAGCAAGATGGAAAGGAGGGCCTAAAGCAGTGACATTAGGGGGGGGGGGGGGGGGGGGGGGGCAGAGGGAAAGGCAGGATACATGGGCCAGGAGCCAGCTTTACCTCTAGGAAGAACTGTGCAATTAGTTTAAGAGTGAAGTTGTTTTGCTAATTTAGGAACACTGGTTCCCGCCTCACGCTGGTGGACAACGGCAACCAACATAAACTGCACCTTGAGCAACCCCCTCCCCGCTTACCAAACCACAGCCGGAGCTGCGAGGTGCCACACGCCCCCGCTCCCCGGCTCCCGCGGCAGGAGCCCGAAACTCATCTGCGGAGGGAGGTTCCCCGCTCCTGCGGCTGGGATGGTATTCGGGCTCTGGAAACTGCTGAAGTGCCACGATGTAGGAGCCGTCAGTGGAAGGCGGCACAAGGTTATCTCGAAGAAATGCAGCTGATATCTCGCAGGCTATGGAGGGGGGCAGGAGGGAAGAGCCCCACGCTCCTGGCACGGCTCCCAGGTCCTGGGGCTCGGGAGAACACCGTTTCCACTTGGGAGGAAAAAGAGGTGGATAGATTCTGGGCAACTGCATTATCGTGCAACACAAGCGTGACACGCAGGTTGTATATTAAAATTTATTGAATTATTGTGTAAGAATTCTCTTTATTAAAATCATTTGGACTCTAAACTGATTATTTACAGACAAAACCTCTTATATCACCAATAGATTCCTACATCTCAGAACAATATCTACAAACAGTTATTACACTATGTAACAAAATTCAGATTTTTTTCAAGCTTTTTATATTAATTATTAATTCCAATTTGAGAAAGACAGTACCTCGGGTGCTCTGAGCAGAACTCAAGGTGTGGCAGGGCATAAACGCAGGTCAGGCCATATCGTAACAGACAGAGACACCAAGTCGCAAGGCTGGGAGAGGGCAGAGTCACCAGGACAGAGGACTGGGAGAAAGACCGTTAGAGCAAACACACTGGGTGTTCCGGAAACCAAAAGAATCATCCCGACAAGAAAGGCACCAAAAAAGCAGCATCTCGCTGCAATCGGGGCACACCCTGAAAAAGAAATGGCATTCCACCGAGGCAGCAGCATCTGAGAACCCTCTTATTTTAATTAAAAAAAAAATTAGCCATCACTTCTACCAGAGGGGAAAAAAAAAAAAAAAAGAGCTTCCAGGTACAGCCTAAATTCGCCACCAGAGAGATGAAAGCAAGCGCGCTCACATCTACATCGCGTGGGTGCCAGCTACTCTTAGTTGTGCCAACAGGAGAGACATTCAAATACACTAACGGATATTTATCTTAATAGTGATCGGTTCTCGGCGTTTCATCCAGACCACGGTGAAAGCAAGTTTCTTTCTCTGACCGCAGTACTAAATAAATCTTAATGCCTGCCATTCAAGAACATCATCTTTCTGAGAATACGATTAAAGCGGCGACATCCCCTTGCAGCACTTGCGTCTTGCAGAAGGGGAACGGTCGCTGTGGCAGGGCACTCTCAGCTGGTGCCCACAGAACTTGCTACCTGTAAGAAAACGGGAACATCCAGAGAGGATTCTCCGTCCTTGAGAAGGAACATCCGTCTCCGGAGCGTCTGACAAGCTGGTCATGTAATCAGGCAGAGACTGGAAGAAACTTGGAAGGATCAAGAGAAATAAATAAGTCAGTCTTCCCTGCAGTAGGGAATTTCATAATAAAACCTGTTTTGTGCAAATTTAAATGCAACAGAACGCTGTCGTAGTAACGGATTTTGCCATAGGAGAGGGGCATGGACGGAGAGAAGAGGGCCATGCCTAAACACCCAAGTTGATCCCAGCGAGGGGCCTTCAGTGCGTGTCCGCAGGGGAGGAGGAGGAGGAGGTGTATCTAGAACACCGAGGACAGATGGATGGGAAGAGGTGGGCACTACCAGCTTTCCACCCTCACTGCACGTGCGCTGGGCAGTGCCTCCTGTCCAGCTACGCAAGGACAAGCTCAACATGTTAAATAAGTCTATCACCTATGTTTAGCTCTATTTTTAAGTCTTGATTATTGCTCTAATGAAAGCAGACTTTCACAGACACACTCAGAGAAAGCAGATCATTTCCAACATCCAGGAGCGCTAGTGAGAAGCAGAGAGGGTGTGGAGCCCACTTACCCCACGGCCTGAGTCAGCCACCTGGGCAGGGGCTGCGCTCTCAGCAGAGACACCTGGACTCCCGTCACTACGATTCCAGGAGAGCCACCAAGTCCTCCTCCCTTTGCCGATGTGAGGTGGATCCAGAACTAAGCCCCAAGCCACCCTGTTCCGGGAAAGCACAGAGATAATTCTGCAAAAATAGGGGCAGACATTAACAGTCTGCAGAGCCGTAAATCCAGCAGGAGCCTGTGGCTCCTGGCAGACACTCAGCAAGCTGGAGAGGCCGCAAACTACGCCCCGCTGCCTGGGGCAGAAAGTCCATCCGTCAACGCACAAGGGGACGACGCTACTCTGCCACTATGCCCGCACCTGCCTCAAACCAAGGAATCGCCTCCTGCAGTTCCAAAGGGAATGGGCTTTGCTAATGTGCACTGTATCTGCTTTTTTCCCCATCTGCCAGTCCTTTCCTCCACCCAGCTTTTTTTGGGCTGGTTTAATCAGATTTGGTCGAGACAGAGGTGTCAGAGATGCTAAGACCCATTGTGGAAATGGGTCGTCAGGCAGGAGCAAGACCCAAACTGGTGCCCACCTGGGGGAAGAGAGGCAAACTCTGTGCCCCGTGCCCCTGCTCCCCCTTTCTGCCTGGCAGGAGCCAGCCAGCTCGCCTGCTGCTCTGTACAGCAGGACAGGAGCAGGAGGTGGCACAGGGATGTTGGCCGTACTCTGGGCACACAGAGTACCTGGGAATACTGCTGAGAGAGGGTCACAGGAGAGAGCTGGCTTTGTAGGAAGGGAAGCCAGCATTAGCTTGTTGTTATATTGCTCAGAGAACAGTTTTGCAACTGCGCAGCACTCGCACAAAGCCACAGGGCTGATCTGACAGGCCTGGAATTATGCAATGTAAAGAGAGGTAGGGACATGATCCTGCCCTGTTTTAGCTCTGGTCCCTCCTGGCCTGCACAATCACCACCTCAGGGATGTGACAAAGGAGTCAGACCTGTCTACCTGCCCCAGGCACGCAGGACATCAGCGTGGAATTAGCAGCAGGGGGTGAAAACGAGTAGGGCACCCTTATAAATAGGAACTCGCTCCCAGAAGGGCAGAGTGCTCTGTTCACAGGGCGCAGGAACTGAGAAGGGAGCAGCGAGGAGCTGCCCAGTGACAGCTGGCAGCTAACAGTGCTTGTGCCTGCTCCAGCCTCTCCTTCCTCGCACGAATCGCTCCCGTTTGCAGGACACCTGACACTCCTTGGGAACGACGCAGTTGTGCTTCACGGCTTCCTTGAGTTCACAGCTCACCAAATAACCCTTCTATGTGCCACAACAGGAGAGTTTGGGAAGTGAAACTGCGAGTAAGGTGTAAGGCAAGCCTAACAGAAGAGCACACAGCTAAGCCTTGAACTGAGCTGCGGGGAAAAGCAAGCTGCTGTTACGACAATGGAGACATCTACGAGTTATCCCTGCAGACAAAGCAGTGGAGAAAACTTTGCTCCAGTGCTGACAGACGTTTGTCAGTAGAAGTGCACAGAGATACTTCTCCAAGAAAAGCTTTGTCTCAAAGCCACAAAATTAAACATTCTCCTTTAGCATTTAAATACATTAACTTTCTGAGGGTATTTACAAGTCCAGTTCAGAGCAGCAGAACAGCCAGACACCGGAGGAAGGGGAGGTGGCACAAGGCATTTGTTGTGCTTTTCCAAAGAGCAGGGCAACCTCTGACCACAAGGAACCAGGAAGACGGATCCCGAGCTGGGTCAGTG